TTTTATTTAACTTCACTTGTGTTTGTCGTGGTCAAATATTGTAATCAACAGTTAGTCTCCTTCCTGTGGTGCAATCAATTCCAAATTTTGCACACGTACTCAGATCCGGTGACAACGCATGCCTGTATGAAAATCGGCATAAATTAATTGCCTCCTTTCAAGCAATTAAATTTTTGTATGGACGGCTTATTAATTATATATTTTTCTGTAGGTCAAAAACGTCGCGGTACCTAAACTGTGGAATCGGCTCGAACAAAAAGCAGACGCCACGTGTCTCAGGCGCCACTGACGTACTTCTCGGCCGTGAGTTAAACGAAGTTGCTAATATAACCGTTGTTTAATTTTTGTTTTAAAGGAGTTTATTTCTCGTTGTGGCAGCCACGCGACAAATCCACGCGACTCTCAAAAAGGCCACCCTGACCGGACCACGAGTGCCCCGTGGTGCCGCTGCTGAGTCGGGTGACGGTGCGCAAGGGGAGATGGAAGTGGTGTCTAATCTGTCTCCAGCACTCTCCTTGCGACTTGCGGCACACGGAAACAAGAACAAAAAAATCATATCGGTGGGGTGGGGGGCAAGGGGGGGAGGTGCCTGCACTGGGCAATCAAGTTCCTCAAATAGGACCGACGCATCCCCCCCAAAAAAACGGTCCACGTATGGTCAAGATGTTCTCGAGGTCGGGGCTGAAGTTTCAGATACTAAAGTAAAAAAAACTATTTGCGTTGATCTGAAGAAGAAATGAGCCGAGACCTGGTTGTTGGTAGAAGAGAGGCTTTGAGTCGGCGGTGTGGGAGCTCTCCAGGAGAGAGGTTACGCATCACGGCCAGACGAGATGAAGTAAAAACAAACTAAACATTTTTTATTTATGTTACCAGGTAAGGCCCGCACTGAGGTATATCGCTCTTTTTCAGAAGCGACCTGGCCACAAATGAAAGCTCAACGAAGTGACCCTATCATCATGTATGGAAATATATAGCAGCCAAATATTATGAAGGCACGTTGATTCTAAATATGGAGGGAACGAACCGGAGGACCACGGATAAAAATCCACGTGACCACGGAGAGAGAGAGACACGCAAACTCCAAGTATACAGCAGCAGCAGGCGTCAGGGGCGGGATCGAACCCACGACCTCCTGCATACCAGGCGAGGGAGATGATATCTCCCAGCCACCGTGATGATGATAATGAGAGAGAGGGACACGCAAACTCCAAGTATACAGCAGCAGCAGGCGTCATAGGCGGGATCGAACCCACGACCTCCTGCATACCAGGCGAGGGAGATGATATCTCCCTAGCCACAACTATGCGAAGTCAGACGGTGACTTGGTTCGAGCTGCGAAGTCGACGCGAGCCGATTTTAGAGAAGAATGGACTGACGATGTCCGAGGGAGTTGGAGAACTCCCCTCACTGTTCTCGACACTGGCGCCAGGAACGAGAGTGGCGACCAATGGTGCTTCTTAGAGTATGGGATTAAAGATGAAACACTATCGTCAATAACGCTGTGGCCTTGTAAATAAAATAAAAAATATATATGTATGTTGAACTTCTTTCGCACCGTACGTAGCCAACCGTGCTAATCGGACAACAAACTAAACACAAAGAAATGAGTTTTTAATCCAGAATTAAAAGTGCGTAGCTCCAGTGGCTTCATAATATCGCAAGGAAGAGCGTTCCAGACGGCCGCAGAAGCGCATCTGAAAGCGCGCAATGCAGTGACCACCGCCTTTGTTCGATAGATTAGCCAAAAGCCGCGAGGATGACCGTAGGTCACGTGATAGTATATGCTCATTTATGGCTAAGCAGTTTGTGCATCGGAAAATGTTCCTTCTTGAAATGACACAGAGAGGCCAGAGAGGTAGAATCCACTCTAGAGTCCTCTCTACCTGTCTGCCCTCTCTATGTGTTTTCAAGAATGGCCATTACCCGAAACGTCACCAGTCCACTCCAAACTCCAATCTACCTGTCTGGGCCGCTTGATGTGCTGCTTTCAAGAAAGGCCATTGTATGCGTGCATGTATGTCGAACTTCTACCGCACCGTACGTAGCCAACCGTGCTAATCGGATGTACTGGAAACGTCACATATTACATTGCCCGACACGTCACATGTTACATTGCCCCGACACGTCACATGTCATACATATTTAAATGCCACTGCGTTGTTATTGACAAACGTGTGAAGTTTGTGTTGTTGTTTATTGTCGTTAATTTATCTTAGTGCACCCCTGCCAAACGTAGCAGCAGCATCCCGACCACGTGGTTTGTTAGAAAGTGGAGAGGATTTGACTTTTTTAACGATTGTTTTGTTTTTCTCCTTCTTCGGTGGAGCGGTGTCGCAAGTGGTTAGCGCACTGCGTAAAGAACTCGCCCGTGTGCGGATGTCAGCGTGGAGCGAACTCGAAACCAGTTTTTGGATCCCACCCTCGCCAACATTCCCCCCCTATAACCCCAACAGACTCTTAGGGAAAAGTGCTGTTAGCGAGCACCCATGAAGGCCGACACTGCACACGAGGGGGTGGGTGGCCAACACCGCGCCCGGCCGCCTTTGTCTCCCCGAGTGGCGATCTTTTTACGCACTGCACCAGGTACTCATTTGAGGCTGAGTCGGACCTAGAGGAGGCGCAGGACCGGTTCAGATAATCGTCACCGGTGTTGGCCGTGAGCGACAAATGCCCAGCTCGCTCGCTCGCACACACGCACGCTCACTCACCGTTAAACCGACGTGACCCATCAATTTCATCATCCCAGCAGTTCCTCTTGCTGTCGCTCAGCGCAATCTCAGGAAGCGTGAACATGGAACAAAGTAATGCGGAGCAGTTAAAATGAAGAAGTGTGCGACAGTGCATGCTGGGAATTACACTGTCGAGCGTATTAACGTGGGCGCCGCGGTGGCGAGATGTTAACTACCTCGCCAAGTATACAGCAAGTTGTGGGTTCTATCCCGACCCTGACGCCTGTTGCATCTTTCTCTCCCCGTGGTCGCGTGGATCTTTTTCTCTGGTTCCCCCGGTGTTTCCCTCCACGTTAATCAACGTGCTGCTCTAACTTTCCACATGATAAGCCACTTCATTGGGATATCGTTTGTGGCCAGCTCGCTTCTGAAAAAGAGCTATATAGCTCAGTGGGCCTCACCTGATAAAATAACTAAAATAGTTTTACTTGATGCATTGTACTTCTTGTTGCGATTGTCATATTGGATATTCTCGGTGCCATCACCTCCGATTAGCATGGTTGGCTACGTACGGTGCGATAGAAGTTCAACATACATACAACATACATGTGAAATGTCCATCATTGACTCAGAGCCACCGACAGAAATGAACACCCGCTCTACGCTCAACCTGTAGCAGGCATTCTCTGTAACTTTGTAAGTTATACAATATTTGCATCAATAGCTCTGAATCAGCTTGAGATTCCCGTAAATCACGTGACTTGTGTGTGGCCACCCCCACTCTGAATCCACCCCCCTCTCCAAACCGCCCACTGTGAAAATCGACGCCGATTCTCCGTGCAGCTCACTTCTTCATGCCTCTTCTCTCTTCTCCATCCCCCCCCCATTCTCCATTCATCATCATAATCTCTCATCATCAACGACATCTCGGCCCGGCCATTCCTTCTTTTTGCTTCAAACGTTGCACTCCTATCGTGTGTTCGTATTGCCTGTTATTTGTGACTTTCTGACCCGCCCCTACTGGGCGTCTTTGGGAAAAAATAAAGAGCTTCTCAGCTCCAGGATAAATAAACATCCTGATTCTCACCTTTTCCTTTCTCCTCCCATCGCTTCACCCGGTGCTCCTTCCTTGTTCTCACTGCTGCTCACCTGGAGGAGCCCACACTTTATATTTTACCCGTCTTGGCGGTGTACCACGGGTAAAAGGTGTCGTATTATAAGAATCATCATCATCGTTATTATTGTTGTTGAGACACGGTACCACATGCGTTCAGAAAGAGAGGAAAAGAAGGTAAACTTTGTAGTAGTCACCAGACTAAAAAAACGCGTTCAATCAAGAAGGACGCTGCTGGGATGGAAGGGCAGTGAAGGATGTGGGCGAGGGATTAATTTCACCATATTCAGTACAGCTTTTGTCATGACCGTGGCTACGAGTCACGTGCCAACCTACTGGTTTTGGCAGTGCCACGGATTTTTTTTTGTTACAACACTGGACTGTATTCAGTGAGACATAAAGCCCCGAGCTAGGTTGTCTCAGAGACGGGATCTGCGTTGATCTGAAGAAGAAATGAGCCGAGACCTGGTTGTTGGTAGAAGAGAGGCTTTGAGTCCGCGGTGGGTAAGGCCCACTGAGCTAGATCGCTCTTTTTCAGAAGTGATCTGGCCACAAATGATAGCTCAACGAAGTCGCTAATCGCGTGGAAATTTATAGCAGCAGCCAACTACTCTAAACGCATGTGGATTCTAAATGTGTAGGGGGGGGGGACCGGAGGACACGGAGAAAAATCCACGTGACCACGGGGAGAGAGACATTCAAACTCCAAATATACAAACAGGGTCTGTACTGAACCCACCACCTCCTGTTGACCGGGCGAAATAGTTAACGTCTCGCCACAGTGGTGCCCAGATCAGTGCCCAGGGACGAGACTGGTCACGGGATGGCAACACAACGAACGCCCCTGACAGGGCGCCCGCCAGCTCACTCGATGCACGAGTGAAATACGTAACACCATCGATGACGACCTGCTGCCCACTGATGGGATGAAGGCTCCTCCGAGCCGCCTCCATGCTTCACGGTCTCGCGACAGAACGATCCACGAGATGATTGGATCGCTCCGTCTCTCCCGTGGTGGCGGTGGTGGTGGTGGTGGGACAGAGGATCTGGGTTCCGCCGCTATTTTGGGGTGGACACTACTGCTCCTGCCATGACGTGACCGTCAGTAGGGAGGGCGAAAAGACTCGCCGTGTCTCGCGAGTCGTATGGCAATGCGTGTCAAGTGACGCGATCGCCACAGCGAGGAGACGCGCGCACACACAGACGCGGTTACGACCTTCGGTGCGGCGCAACAAATTTATTCACGAGAAGCAAAGACGCAGACAGCAGCAACAGCAACACTAAACACAGTCGTGACCAGGTTCATCATCGTCATCATCACCATCATCACGATCCATGGGCATATAGTCCGTAGGTGTCGACTGGACAAATCGTCATTTGTTTCCACTTTCCTCTCTGTCTTGTGACGATACGCTCATGTAGTGTGCCACATCTTTCTGGCACCAATCTCTGATGTCGTCGTGGTCAAGGCGGTGTCTGCTAGGTGTTCCTCTCTTTCCGATTCCTTCCGTTTTTTTCCGAACGACATCAACAACAACAACAAACACACTTAAACATTTTCCTGTTGCTGTCAATCCTACATGGGTGTCCAAATAACACGTATGTAGGATGGAGAGCCGATCTGGGTCAGCGGACGAGACAAGGTATGGGTCAACTGAAGAGGATCTTGGTCAGAGGAAGAGAGAATGGGGGGGGGGGGGGGTGGGGGTCACCAGCGCCCCCACCTTCTGACCACCGCCCCCCTCACCCCTCCCCTGGCCCCCTCCCCCAGCCCGCTCACGCGAGCTTGAGCATCTCCTGCACCATGACGCCGACGCCGTCGTACACGTGGTGGATGGGCGCCGTGGCGCACATGAAGGCGCTCGTGGTCACGATCTTCAGCTTGGTGTCCACGTGCGCCTCGCCCACGTCCGTGCACACGTGCGTGCAGCCCAGCTCGCGGATGGCGGCGGCCGTGCCCGCGTAGGGGAACCTGGCGCACGTGGGGGTGGGAGACGCCGTGAGACGGGGGGGACGCGTGTGTGAACACGTGTGTGTGTGTACACGTGTGTGTGTCTACACGTGTAGACACACACACGTGTGTGTACACGTGTGTGTGTGTACACGTGTGTGTGTGTGTGTCTACACGTGTGTGTGTGTGTACACGTGTGTGTGTGTACACGTGTGTGTGCCTACGTGGGGAGCGGTAGTGTAGCGGTTAGCGCTACGCTGCACTACGGACCTGGCGACCCGGGTTCGATTTCCGCTCACCGGTGCTGGGCCTCCCCTAGGTCGACTCAGCCTCAAATTAGTACCTGGTGCGATGTGTGAGCATCGCCACTAGAGACAAAGGCGGCCGGGCGTGGTGTTGGCCACCCACCCCCTCGTGTGCCGTGCCGGCCTTCATAGGTGCTCGCTAACAGCACTTGCCCCTGCAGTCTGTTAAGGCTGTACGGGGAATCTTTCTCTTTGTCCGTGTCTGCACGTGTGTCAGTCAACCCATGGCACCTGGGTCTGTCCCGAGACCTGCTGTCAGCGAGCCTTCGACACTTCAAGTGGCCTCAAAGTGCACATAGCCTGGCACAGGCACCGCGGTGACGTCACCATCACTTAGTGGTGAATGTCAAGTGTTGTTGTTGTTGTGTGTACTTGTTATCATTATCTATGATCTATCCACTGTTGGATGAAGGCGGCTCAAAGCCGTTGCTATCACAATACCTTCTCACCTGCACCAGCCCCTCTTAACCCCCCCTCCACCCCCCATACTCTGCCCCTCGCCCTCCGCGCCCCGCCCCTCGCCCTCCGCGCCCCGCCCCTCTCTCCCCCCGCGCCCCGCCCCTCTCACCTGCCCCCCTGCTCGCTGTCGCCCCCGACCGTGAGCTCGCATCCCGGGAAGAGCCTCGCGGCCAGCACGGGGGCGATGCAGCAGAGCGCCACGGGTTTGTCCGCCTCCCTGAAGGCGCGCAGCGCCGCCTCCACGCCCGGCAGCAGCGAGCAGCGAGCGCCCTCGGAGGCCCACGAGCTCAGGTTCTTGGCCACGCCGAACCCACCTGGAGAGCGGGGAGGGGGGGTGAGAGGAGAGGTAACGATGTGTGGTTCATTGAGCCACTAAAGCCTCCTCCAGTCTCAAGGCTATTCTCTTGGGGCGTGATGTGCATGCAATTAATGAGGCGCCATATCCGAAACGTCGTCTCGATGTTCACGTGAATGAACACGCTCCCCGAACTGGGACTTGTTGAGCAACCATCGGGTGCGTGTAGAGCAAGTATAGAGACTGGAGCGTGGGCGCTGCTCCTATTGCTCGTCGACCTTGTGTATTACTGTGGTGGTGGTCGTTGTTGTTGTTGTTGTTTACCGGGCACGAGCAGCGCGTCGAAGTCGGCGACGCGGAGCTGCGCCAGGTCCCGCGCGGCGCCGCGCGCGATGCGCGAACTCTCGCGCAACACGTTCCGCTCCGTCTCCCCGCTCTGCTCCTTGCCGCTCGCGTGGTCCACCACGTGCTGCTGCGACACGTCCGGGGCGAACACCGTCACCTGCACGGGGGGGGGCGGGGCACGGGGGGGGGGGCCGAAAGAAAATAAGAACGGCAGCTGATGGAGTGTGGTTACCTGTGGAAGAAAAGGGGGGAGGGGGTCACGAGGAGGTACCGGAGGTTGGGGGGGGGGCGCATGGAAAGGTCCTGATGGGGGGGGGGGGCACAAGGGGAGAGGTGGGGAGCACGGGGAGCGGCATGGGGAGGGGGGGACGGGATGGATTAGCGCACGGTGGGGGGCAGGGTACGAGGAGGGGGGGGGGGGGGTGCCGTCACCTGCGGAGGGCGAGTACGGTCACGGACACGCACGCGCGCGCACTTGTACATGACGTGTACGTGTTCCATGGAGGTGTACTAGTTATATCATTATCTAGGACTGGCCACTGATGTTAGCCGTGGCCGGGAATCGAACTTAATCAATATCGTCTGGGTAGATGAGGAAGCGCTAACCACTCCCCACGCGCACACTGTTATAACTGCCATGTTTATTTAACTTCACTCTTTGATTCAACCACTGCTCTTGCACGCGCGGTCACAAAAACAAATACCCCCCACCAAATAGCCTTAAGACGGTTGGGGCAAGTGCTGTTAGCGCGCAAGAACCGGTTCAGATAATCGTCACTGGTGTTGGCCGTGAGCGGGGTTCGTAACGCAGCGCGCGAACCGCTCCACTACCGACACACACACACACAAGACAAAGATCCCCCATATAGCCTTAACAGACTGTAGCGGCAAGTGCTGTTAGCGAGCACCTATGAAAGCCGGAACGGTACACGAGGGGGTGGGTGGCCAGCACCGACCGCCTTTGTCTCCCTAGTGGCAATGTTTACACACCGCACCAGGTACTCATTTGAGGCTGAGTCGACCTAGAGGAGGCCCGGGACCGGTTCAGATAATCGTCACTGGTGTTGGCCGTGAGCGGGAATCGAACCCGGGTCGCCAGGTTCATAGCACAGCGCGCTAACCGCTACACTACCGCTCCCCACATACACACACGTGTATACACACACACACACGTGTACACACACACACACGTGTACACACACACACACGTGTACACACACACACACGTGTACACACACACACACGTGTACACACACACACACGTGTACACACACACACGTGTACACACACACACGTGTACACACACACACGTGTGACGAGACTCTCACCTCGGCTCCCGCTCTGCTCAGGTGAACGAGGGCCGCGGACGCTTCGTGGATTTCGCTTCCGTCATAGGCCCCGCACCCCGCCAGCAACACAGCCACGCGCTTCCCCATCTCTGACGATGATGCTGCTGCTGATGCTGCTGACGATGATGCTGATGCTTCGGCCGGAGATCGAGCGGATGAAGCTGCGGTTCGGAGCGGCTCCTCTTTTTATAGCGGCTCGGGGAGGAAGAGGGAGGGAGGGGAGCGAGTGGAGAGATACGAGTCTGGAGAGAGGGGAGCGCGAGCGTGGGTGAGAGATGGGGGGGGGGGGGGGTGATGCGAGAGAGGGAAGAGGGGAGGAGGAGCGTGAGGTGAGAGCGAGCGTTGTCACGAGGGTTGGGCACTCATGGGGGGAGGGATGGGTGGAAGGGAGGGGGAGAGAGTGGTTGTTTGTCTGGAAGTGAAGTAGTGGACTTTCCAAAAAATCACGCGACAATCGGTCTCATTTTGAAATAAATAAATATATGAGTGAGATAATAATAAGGGGTTTTCCTCTTTTTTTTCTGGCAACAAAACTGAAACTTCTTTTTTACAAGGATTCATGTCTGCATTAACCGCAATACCTGCAGTCAAAATGATTACTTTAATAGTGCATTGTCTTTGAGCTGTACGCCTTTTGGCGTCATCTGGTCGAGCACCAATTGGGTCGAGGCTCAAAAGAAAGCCGTCCCTTGGTGTGGACCAATCAGTTTCAAGGACAATGCATAAATTATCATAGTATGTTTTTTGTTTACATTTTGACTGCAGGTATTGTGGTTAATGCAGGCATGAATCCTTGTTAAAAGGTTTCAATTTTGTTGCCATAAAAAAGGGGAAAACCCCTTATTATTACATTTTGGTACTGGCAAAGGAGGTCTAATGATATGAGTGAGAATTCGCGGCATCACTTCCTAAAATCGCCATGTTACTCGTGGCGCTGATTAGACGTCTGTGAAAAAACTTCATAGCTCATCGGATTCCTCCAATGTAAATACAGAGTCTGATTGATGATTGTGGTGTGACTCGTGGTGGTGGTCATAGCAGTGGTGCATCTGTCAATCATCTCAAGCAGTTAAGCCATAACACCTGGGTGTGACCCTTGACCTGCGATCAGCGAGCCTTCCACACTTCACGAGATAGCCTCAAAGTGCACCTAGCCTGGCATAAGCGCTGTGGTCTTGTCACCGCCACTTAGTGGCGAATGGCGGCTGTTGTTGGTGTGGTCATGGTGGTGGTGACTGATGGTGCTACACGTGGTGGTGGTTTTGCTGGTGAAGGGTGAAGACGTTCACGGTGGTATTGATGTGATCATGACAACGGTGGTGGTGGAGGCTGATGATGGTGTTGCTCTTGGAGGACGTGGTGATGGTGAGGATGATAGTGGTGGTGAATGTTGTGTTGCCGATTGCAAGCTGTACATGCGCGACTTCAATCCACTGCCAGATGACAGCCTCCCCGCGCCCATATCCGCTCGCCGAGGACGTTTGACCATACTTCACCGCCCTGGAGGTCAGTGTGGATTGGTGCGGGTAAAGTGTGCGGCGGGTGGGCGTCCGATTGTCTGGGTGTCTCGAAACCGGTTTGACGCACCACCGACAATCGGGGGGGTAAAGTAGCGCGGTGCGCTAACCGTTGCGCCACCGCCCCCCCCCCCCCTCCAACTCCACCTCTGCCCGCCAGGCACTGAAGCGCATCACCGCGAGTGAACTTTAAGGGCGGCAACGGCGCTGTCGGCGACGTTTCTGGAAGTTCCACGAGGAAGAGGGGAATTCCGGCCCTGCCAAGGGCGCGCGTCTGGATTTCAACACCCCCCCGCGTCTCTCTCCGCGGCTCGGAGGGCGACTCGAGACGCCCCCGCAAGTCCCCCCCCCCCTCTCTCCACCGCAACTCCATTCCCGCACCCCCGGATCCATCGCGGGCTCCAATTCTCGCTTCCACATCCCCCCCCCCACACACGCGCCCTCCCTTTTCCTTTGCTCTCTCCACACTCCCACAAAACTCCCCCCCTCCCGCCCTCCTCGCCCCCCACCTCCATCCACACTCCGTCTCCCCACACTCCTCCCGCCTGTCGCTTGCCCTTTATCTCGCCCCTCCCTCCCTCCTGTCACTGCCACACGAGCGGACGGAGAGGCGGAGGAGCGCATTGCGGCTTGCGAGCCTCGACTCGTTCACATCACCCCCCACCACCACCACCACCCGACTCCCCGGGTTCTCTCGCGCCTGCACGGTTTGTCCGTGAGTTTCGCCGGAGACAGCTGCGTCCAACATGAGCTCACCGGCCGAGATCACGGGGCGTTCGCCCCCCAAACTCCACAACTCAGTGGGGGTCTTGGGCATCGCCGCAGGTGAGGCGTCGTCTGATGCTGAAACTGCTGCGGATGATCATGATGATGATGATGACGTTGCTGCTGATGATAATGTTGATAAATATGAAGTTGTTGATGATGATGCTACTTCTGCCGATGTCATGATTGCTGCTGCTGCTGATGTTGTTGCCGTTGCTGCTGATGATGTTGTTGCTGCTGCTGCTGATAATGACGTTGACGATGATGATATTAATTTTGGGACCTCGTGTTTACATTCGTGAACAAATGCGCGCGTGAATCCCGTGCCTGGTGAACACACGAGCGCGCGTATGAGCGGGCACACGTGAATGCGATTGCTCATCGGTGCTCGCGAACAGCACTTGCCCCAACAGTCTCTCAAGGCTATACGGGTGATGTTTGTTTTATTTTTCTGGTGTGTGTTTCGGGATGGACTGCGCAGTTGTTAGCGCACTGCACTACAAATCCGACCACCTGGGTTCAATTCCTGACCACGACAAACACCGGTGGGTTGGAAAGTAATATCTGAAACTCCCCTGCGTCTCTCCCCGAAATCCGCTCAGCCTTTAACGAGTACCTGATACGGTGTGTACTAAACACCGGAACTGGGGAGACAAAGGCGGCCGTGAGTGCGTGGTGCTTGGTCACACCGACGCCTCCAGCTCGTGCGCCGTGCCGCCTTTGCTAACGAAGAGAAGCGAAAAAGTTTAAACCCAGCAGCAGGAACATTGGTGGGTGTCCGGTGATGGCTGGCGGCGCTCAGCCTGGCAGTCCGCGAATGCCACCGGCCGGCGGAGGTGTGGGTGGGCGTCTCTCTCTCACCGCGTATCTGGCGTCCCCCCCCCCCCATCATCCCCCCCACCATCCCCCCACCAACCCCCCACCAACCCCCACGTTCTCCACCCCCCACCACCACCCCACCCGCCCCCCCCACCACCACACACCCCACCACCACCCCCCCCCACCACCCCCCACCACCACACACCCCACCAACACCCCCCCCACCATCCCCCCACCAACCCCCCCGTTCTCCCACACACCCCCCCCCACCACCGCCCCACCCATCACCCCCCCCTCCACCAGCACCCCCACCACCCCCCCACCATCCCCCCCACCATCCCTCCTCACTACCCACCACCCACCACCACAACCCCACCACCCCCCACCACTACCACCACCCCCACCATCCCCTCCCCCCCACCATTCACCCACCAACCCACCACCCCCCCACCATCCCCCCCACCATTCACCCACCACCCCACCACCACCCTAGGGTCCCTGCTGGTCTCCATCGAGAGCTACGCTCCGGGCCGCTTCGAGCCCACGGCGCTGGGCCTGCTGCTCCTCGTCGTCTCCGCGCTCCTCGCATTCGCAGGTTCGCCGCCCCCTCCTCCTCCTCCGCACTGCGGGCGAGGGCTGCGGTTGGGGGGTGGCGGATTTTCTCCACATTTATAAACATGCGTCGAGATTATTTTGACCGTAATACAGATTTTTTTGTGTTAGATCGCGTAAATATATAGATGTGTCGTTGAACCCGCCACCACTCGACACAGCCAACTAGTAAGTTTTGTCACGTAAACAGAACGTGGCCAATTCGTTACTTAGTACAGCAACACCGGTGTGTTGGATAGCAAAGCCACAACATTTACAATCTGAGTACGACGTTTCGCCAGTAATCACAACCAGCATAATCAATTTGGTATGTTGAAACCGCAACGTCGTGATATTTTAAGAATTTTTCTATCTACGTAGCTTTACCGAAAGAACCAAAGAACATTAATTCCTGCAGTCACGCAAGCTTTAAGTCAAGATTTAAACAAAATACGGTTTAGTTTTATTTGTATACATTTTTAAAATTGATTTGTTTACCTTTTCTATACTTTTCACTCCTATATATTTTTTTATTGTTTATTATTGTAACGTTCTGACCTGCCCCAACTGGACATCTGTGAAAAAGAGCGTTACAGCTCATTGGATTTCTCCTGCAGTATAAATAAATGTTCTGATTCTGACCTCACCCACCCACCTCACCACTTCCTCCTCCTCCTCTTCACCCCTTGCCCAACCCGCTTATTCCTCTTAGGTGGAACCAGTGGTTTTGGAGAAGTGGTGGAGGTGTCTGTAGGGTGGGAGGGAAGGGAGCCTCCCCTAGGTCGACTCAGCCTAAGAGTGGATACCTGGTGCAGTGGGCAAACATCGCCACGAGGGAGACAAAGGCGGCCTGGGTGTGGTGCTGGCCACCCACCCCCTCGTGTACCGTGGCGTCCTTCATAGTCGCTACTGACGAACGGTGCTTGCCCCAATAGTGGCAGGCACCCCCTCCCCACCCCTCCAGGTTACAGAGTCCCTTGTGGAGTCTATTTAAACTAAACTATTTGTGTTTTTTTTATTTTATCAGCTAATAAGCTCAACGAGCTGCAGCGCTCTTTTTCAGACGTTATCCAGTCGCAAACGATAGCAGACAAACACTCTAAACGCATGTCTCTACGCGGTCTTAGTCAGGAATGTGTGTTCGTGCTGTGTAATTGTGTCCTGGTGTTTGACTCGCATAGCCCCCGCGCGCATTTTCGAACTTCTTCTGCACATTATCCATGCCGCGGCCTGCATCCCCCCACCTCCAATGTGAGTCTTCGGGTGTCTGTGTGAGTCTACAGGTCTCGTGAGTGTGACTCTATGGGTCTCTAGCACTGATCAAAAAAGTCACTGCTACCTCATTCCAGCTTCTCAATGCGCGCGACATCTGCGCCTGGGAGACCACGGGGCTGGATTGTTGTAGCCTCTCGTCACGTGTCCCAAGCAACGATTAACGCCCCAACGTGGGCCCATTGCATTTGTCCCGGCCATTCACTGCGTAACTTTATTTTCCTGCCCTCGTTTTATCTGTGCTGCCCCCGTTCTAACTGTGCTGCCCCCGTTCTAACTGTGCTGCCCCCGTTCTAACTGTGCTGCCCCCGTTCTATCTGTGCTTTCCTCGTTCGCACCTCCTCCGCCCCCCTCCCCACAGCCATCCGCAGGCTCCAGTGCGAGGCGTCGGTCTTCGTGAACCTCTGCCTCATCCTCTCGGCGCTCTGGGCCGGCCAGGGGGTCATCATGGTGCTCATGGGCCAAGGGGCGATCGGCCACGACGAGCAGAGCACGCGGCTGGCCCTGGCCCCGGGCCTCGTGGCCTTCGCCCCGGCCTGTCTGCTCCTCTGCTTCGTGGGCCTCGTCAAGGGCCCCGTGCTGCTCGCCGCGATGTCGGGCGCGGTGGCCTTCGCGCTCTCGCACCGCATCGCGCTCCTCTACGCGGGCCCCTCCGCCGCGCCGGGATTCGGCTCCTCCGGGGTGGCCGCCAGCTACCTCGTGGTGGCCCTGGTGGGCCTCTACTACGGCGCGGGCCGCATCGCGCACTACCTGAGCAGGGGCGCGCTGGGCCTGCCCGGCACGGCCGGCTCCAACAAGCAGGGGGCCCGCGGCGGAGAGGCCGCGGGGAGGAGGAAGCGCGTCCCGGGAGACGCCAACGAGACGGCGGTGGCCGGGTACGCGGCGTGCGCGCTCGCGGCCAGCGTCCTGGGCTGCAGGGCGCTGGGCATCACCGCGCAGCTGAGCGGGGGGCAGGTGCCGTGGCTGGGCGCCGCCTTCGCCCTGCAGCTCCTCGTCTCGGTCCTCTCGTTCCGCTCCAACGACGCGCTCGGCGGCGTTTTCTTTGCCTTCGCGTCGCTCGTCAGCAGCGGCGCCGGGCTGCAGCTGGGCCTCTGGGCGTGGCACAGCGGCGGCGTCGTGGGCGGCTCCGTCTCCCTGCTGCCGCCCCCGGCCCCCGTCGTCCTCGCCGTGCTCTTCCTCGTCGCGTCCCTCGCCGCCGCCGACCGCAGCCTGGCCGAGGTGGCGGTGGGCCTGGTGCTCGCCGCCTCCTGCGTGGCCGTCGCCTCCGACTCGAGCGGCTTCCTGGGGGTCGCGTCGCTGCGCGCCGCCGTCGCCGTCTTCCTCGCCGCCCTCGCCTTCTTCTTCGTGCGCCTCTTCAACCTCGCGGGCGGCGACATCCGCATCCCCGTGGGCCAGGGAGTGGTCACGCGTCTCGTCTGCCGCCGGGGCGGCTACGCGGCCGTCTTCCTCACGGCCGATCACGACTCCGCGGCGCCCGTGCTCGGCTACTCGCGCTACACGGACGCCGAGTCGCTGGGCCACGCGTGCAACGCCCTGGCCGCCTTCGGCATGACGCTGGCGGCGCCGGCGGACGCAGCGGCGGGGCCCCTGAGCACGCTGGTGCTGCCCTGGGTGGTGGTGGCGGGCGGGCTCCTGCAGTTCGCGGCGGGCGCCATCTCGTTCTCGCGCGGCAAGACGCTCGAGAGCACCGCCTTCGTGTTCTACAGCCTCATGTGGCTCATCTGGGGGGTGACGCGCTACGCGGGCCTCGCCGCCGCTGGCGAGCGCGGCTTCGACCTCTCGGCGGGGGTCATCTGCTTCATGGTGCTCAACCTGTTCGTGGCGCTGGGCACCGTCTTCCTCAGCAAGATGTGGTTCGCGTCGGCGCTCTGCTTCGAGCTCATCATGGTGAGCTTCCTGCTCGAGGCGCTCGGCGCGCTGCCGCGCCGCTACGACGAGGCCGTCACCGTCATCTTCGGCCTCGTCAGCTGCTACTGCTTCGTGGCGTCGCTCTCCGCGCAGACGCTGCACCGCTTCGCGCTGCCCGCGGGCAAGCCCTGGATGCAGCTGGGGGGCCCCGCGGGCGCGGCGCACGCCTCCTGCCCGCACCTCCCGTCGCGCAAGGCCTCCTCCGTGCAGCAGATCGCAGGTAATGGACCGGGGGGGGGAGGGAGGGAGTGGTGGTGGGGGATGCGGGGGAGGGATGGACATGGGAGGAGATGCGAGCGACACCGTGAACTCTATCACTATGCGCATAACACCATGATGGTGATTGTGATCATTCTGATGATCACAATGATGATCACGAAAGTGATCAGGATGATGATCACCATTGTAATAAGAATGATGATCACAATCGTGATCATCCTGATTATCATCCTGATAATTCTGATGATCAGGATCATGATCACGATAGTGCGTCATGATGATGTCGTAACTTGCTGACCCGCCCATACTGGACATCTGTGAGAAAGAGCTTCACAGCTCATCGGATTCCTCGTGCAGTCTAAATAAAGATTCCGACGATGACACATTCTCTCCGCACGTGTGCGCTGCCCGTTCTACTACTGACCTGCCCGTCGCGCTGTGACCCTGACCACTGCCCCCCGCCCCCGCAGAGATCATGAAGAACGGGGGCACGTGCGGGGTGCCCACGGACACCGTGTACGTGCTCGTGGCCGCGTGCAACCGCCCCGAGGCCGTGAGGAAGGCGTACAGGTGCGGGGAGACACGTGGCATGGGGGTAGAGGGGGGGCTGAGAGAGAGGAGAGAGTGGAGATGGGAGAAAGAGGAGGGGGAGAGTCGGGAAATAGAAGGAGTCGAGGTTATGGGAGCGAGAGAGTTGAGACAGAGAGAGAGAGAGTGTGGGTACATTCCTCGCGCTGTGAGCATCACGACACGAGACGAACAACAACTCCCTTTGGGGACTCTCGGAGCGAGTAGTACACCACCTTGTGGCTTCCATTCCTCCCTCACCTCGCCTCGCTCCCCCCTCCCCCCCGCCCCTCGGCAGGAGCAAGAAGCAGGCCGAGCACCGGCCCATGTCGCTGTGGATCTCGGGCACGCGGCAGCTGGAGCCGGTGCGCCACCTCTTCTCGCCGCTGCTCTGGGGCCTCATGGAGGCCGCGTGGCCCTCGTCCGTCAGCCTCGTCATCAAGAGGGGTACCGCTCCGCACGCAGAAATATCATCATCATCACCAGCGGCGTCACCGTCACCAGCAGCATCATCATAACCGTCATCAGCATCGCCGTCATCATCCGCACAACCATCACGATCAGCACAACCATCATCAGCTGCAGCATACTCATCAGCGGGCACGATCTAACCACGGCTGGATCCATGAGTCCCAAGTCGTCGTCGTCTGTCGGCTTCTCGCGATGCGACGATCCACGCAGCGCCTGCACGCGAGCCGCCCTCCCCGCTCCATCTCCTCCGTGGACGTCCCCTGTGTGCGCCTCGCCCAGCAGCGGAGCGGCCTTCGCAGGCGCCGCTCGCTAACAGCACTTGCCCCAAGAGTCCGCTAAGGCTACGCGGGGGGTCTTTGTCTGTGTCGCCGAGCAGGGGAGTGGGTGGACAGCCTGGGCATGGGCGACGCCGCGTCGCTCATCGGCACTCCGGACAGCATTGCGGTGCGCTACCCGGACTGCACGGTCACCACGCAGCTCATCGACCTGGTGACAGCCCCCCCCCTCCCTCGCTCGCTCCCCCTGATCCCCAACCTCCCTCCCTGCTCCCCCCATCCCCTCTTTCCCTGTTGTCATCCCCTCCTCACTCCCTCTGTCTCTCATTCACTCCTGATCCCTTTCCCCTGATCCCTGCCTCCCACTCTGCCACCCCACGCCCTCCCTCCCTCGTTCCTACTCCCCCATCCCCTGCTCCTTCTCCTCTCCTCCTCGCCCCCCCCCCCCCCCCATTCTCTCTGCGTGCTCCCCCCCCCCCACTCACTCCCCCCACTCTCCCACTCTCTAACCACCCCGCCCCTCCCCCTAATCCCCAAATTCCCTCCCTCCGATCCCCGCCCCTCCTCCCCCCACTGACGCGGGTCCCGTGCCCCCTCCCCCCTCCCCCAGGTGGGCCCCATCGCGGTGACGTCAGCGAACCCCACGGGGGAAGCGGACACGACTCATCACAACCAGGTGTACGCCAAGCTGGGGGCACAGGTACGGGTGGTGGGGGGGGGGCGGTGGTGGGGGTGGTGGGGGGGGGTGGAGGGGAGGGTGGAGGGGTGGGAGGGCTTTGGCGAGGTGGTGGTGGGGGGGGGGGCGGTGGTGGGGGGCGGTGGTGTGCGGGTGGTGGGGGGTGGTTGGGGGATGGGGGGTGGTGGGGGGGATGATGGTCGTGGTAGGCTCCATAATGACAACGATGATGGTGGCGGTCTTGACGACGATGACGATGGTTGTAGTGGTAGTCTCCCTTGACTGACTCGGTGATGTTGATGATTATGGTGGTGGTGGCGGTGGTACCGGTAGACTTTCTTGATTGAATAGATGCTGATGACGATGATGTCAATGATGATGTCAATGATGATGTCGATGATGATGTCGATGATGATGTCGATGATGATGCAGGTGGACGGGGTGCTGTGCGATGGCCCCTCACCGGAGAACATCGCCTCCACCGTGGTGGACTGCACCAAGATCGAGGAGGGCGTCCTCAAGTTCTTCAGAGTCGGCCTCGTGCCTAAGAGCAAGGTGAGCACACCGCGGCATCCGCGGATTTCTACTCGGAGTGTGTGCTGCTGCCGCGGATTTCTCCCACGACTGGTGTCTGATGATGAACAACGGTCATGATGTGATGCCACAACACCATTCGTGTGCCGTGCGCGTGTGTGACTCTACTACGTACGTGCGCACGTGTGTGTGTGTGTATGCGGTAGGATTGGCAGTGTAGCGGGTAGCGCTTTGCGCTACGAACCCGGCTCACCCGAGTTCGAATCCCGCTCATGACTAACACCAGTGACGATTATCTGAACCAGTCGTGGGCCTCCGGTAGGTCGACTCAGCCCCAGGTTATTACCTGATGTGTGTAAACATCGTGGCTGGGGAGACAAAGGCGGTCGGGCGTGGTGCTGGCGACCCAAATTCGTGTGCCGCTCCGACCTTCATAGGTGCTCGCGAACAGCACTTTCCCCTACAGTCTGTTCAGGCTATACGGGGGATCTTTCTTTTTTGTCGTGGTCGTGTAGTGGTTAGCGGTGGGGTAGTGGTCAAAGCACACCGTGCTACAAACTCGACGACCCGAATTCGAATCCCGCTCCCACTCGCGGCCAATCTACAGCCTCAATTCAGTACCTAGAACGGTGAGTGGTCATCGTGACTCGGGGAGGGGGAGGGCATCTTCAGCCGTGACATTGTGTCGCGCCCCTGCAGGTTCTCAAAATGTTCGAGGAGGTGCGCGCTCGTCTGCAGCCGCCGGCCCAGGGCGGCATCACCAACGTGGGCTTCGAGCAAGGAGAAGATGAAGACAAAGACCGACACCACCACCACTACCACGAGGAAGAGGATAGAGATGACCAACAGCAGGACATCACACCGGCCGTCTTGGTCGCCGGCGCCGCGATGAGAGAGGAGTCGGACGCGTGACCCCCTCGGCGTATTTCCTGGGAGGAGGTGGGGGGGGGGTAGAGCAGTGTCGGATTAAGCTAGTGCGGGGCCTGTAACATATGTTAAAAAGGAGCCATAAATAAAAAAACACATAAATATCAAAACACACATTTTCAACTTGCACAGTAAAGTAATTGTATTTTTTTTATTTGCTATACGGCCAGATGATACGACAAATCGCCAACCTTTTAGTGCGGGGCTCTTGAAAGTGCGGGGCCCGTAGCTACTTATGTAGCTACTTTTGCTACGAGGATAATGAATCCGCCACTGGGGTAGTGTTCCCGAACTGGTCTCAAGCTACCCCTCCCCCCCGACTCTTGGTCCGACCCGGGTGGTGACATCAACAAGACGTCCGTGCCCAGACAGCGCTCGTTTAGCTTACATACCCAGCCGTGAACGTGCGAAACGTATTATCAGCATCCAGCAGCTGTGATAAATCCACCTGCTTCATCCTTGTAACTGTATGGTAATCAATTTGTGTTTTGCTTTTGATGTTTTGGTGAGCCCCCACCCCGGCCACACTTGCGAATGAGACGCATCCTCGGTCTCTTGAGTTCTCGCCCGGCTACGCAACATAACGGTGGAGGTTGAAGCACTGCTGGATGCGCAGGAGCTAATTTCATCGCTCCATCTCCATTGTCGAGGTCCTGCCGGGCGTGTTTCCTCCTGTAACTGCTCATCCGGTCGATGTTCCAATCCCTTCTAGCTATCTGTCCTGCTCCCGTATGTATGTATGTATCAGGGACGTGCGGTCAGGGGAGGCAGGGGAGGCAGAGCCTCACCTGTCATACTCCAATGAAAATAGCTGTTACGAAAAGTAAAAAAAAGGATAATCAAATGAAATAAAGATTTAGATTTTTACACTGACCTGTGTTATAAATGTCACTTCTGTACGATTCCAATCATTTTTATAGTCAAAATCGCCAAATTTGCGGAGCTACGCTGCAAATAAAGGAAGAGACGAGAGGTGAGGCAGCGACGAGCTCAGCCTCCCCTCTGATTGCGCAACCCCTCAGTAACTGGATGGAGTGCGGGCAATAAACGCGTGCCTGTTACTATCTCAGTATGTCACCAATGTAATGTTTGTAGACTCCTTCGTTTCATGTCCTCGCCTTCCATACTCCAGGTAACTTATTTCACATGTGTATAAAGATATTTAAGCTCGCTGGTCTCGTCATGAAACTGCAATGAAAAGCACCAGGGGAGGCAGCTATCACATCTGCCTCACTGAGGGGGACGTGTCTAACACGCCCCCCTCAATGAGGACACGCCCCCTCAGTCAGGCCACGCCCCTCCCCTCAGTGAGGCCACGCCCCCCTCAGTGTGTGAATCTGGTTCTGACACTAGCCAGTGCCTCCCCAGCCAATGACCTCACCACACGTCACTGGTATGTATGTTGAACTTCTTTCGCACGGGGGAAGGTCAACCAAATCTAAACACAAAAAGCAGTTCTAAAGAAATTCGTTTTCACATACGGTACTTTCACAACCGCCTTGTGATGCCTCCAACTTTGAGAACGTTCTCTATACCCACGTATTCGTTCTCACCGTCATTCCCAGAGTGCACCTCTCACCGTCATTCCCAGCGTGCACATCTCAGCGTCATTCCCAGAGGGCACCTCTCAGCATAACTTCCAGAGTGCATCTCTCAGCACCATTCCCAGAGTGCATCGCTCAGCATAATTCCCAGAGTGCACCGCTCAGCATCATTCCCAGAGTGCACCTCTCAGTATCATTCCCAGAGTGCACCTCTCAGCATCATTCCCAGAGTGCACCTCTCAGCGTCATTCCCAGAGTGCACCTCCCAGCGTCATTTTCAGAGTGCACCTCTCAGCGTCATTCCCAGAGTGCACATCCCAGCGTAATTTTCAGAGTGCACCTCTCAGCGTCATTCCCAGAGTGCACCTCTCAGTTTTATTCCCAGAGTGCGCCTCTTAGCATCATTCCCAGAGTGCACCTCTCAGCGTCATTCCCAGAGTGCACCTCCCAGCGTCAATCCCAGAGTGCACCTCTCAGCGTCATTCCCAGAGTGCACCTCTTAGCATCATTCCCAGAGTGCACCTCTTAGCATCATACCCAGAGTGCACCTCTCAGCGTCATTCCCAGAGTGCACCTCTCAGTTTTATTCCCAGAGTGCACCTCTCAGCGTCATTCCCAGAGTGCACCTCTCAGCGTCATTCCCAGAGTGCACCTCTTAGCATCATTCCCAGAGTGCACCTCTCAGTTTTATTTCCAGAGTGCACCTCTCAGCGTCATTCCCAGAGTGCACCTCTCAGCGTCATTCCCAGAGTGCACCTCTTAGCATCATTCCCAGAGTGCACCTCTCAGTTTTATTCCCAGAGTGCACCTCTCAGCGTCATTCCCAGAGTGCACCTCTCAGCGTCATTCCCAGAGTGCACCTCTTAGCATCATTCCCAGAGTGCACCTCTCAGTTTTATTCCCAGAGTGCACCTCTCAGCGTCATTCCCAGAGTGCACCTCGCAGCGTCATTCCCAGAGAGCGCCTCTCAGTTTTATTCCCAGAATGCACCTCAGTTTTATTCCCAGCGTGCACCTCTCAGCGTCATTCCCAGTGTGCACCTCTCAGTTTTATTCCCAGCGTGCACCTCTCTGCACGCTTCTCCGCACACTTTTTTTCTTTCAGTTTTCGTTCCGTCCCCCTCCCCTGGTCGAGGGCCCACCACGGTTAAAGCACAAGCGTCGGGTGAGACACGCCGCTGTTAAATAAACAAGTTCGCTACCGGGGGGGGGGAAGGGAAATAAAAAACAAACATCAAGAGCCATTTAGGCCAGGCAAGCCTCAAATGAGTGACGAGACTAGTGTACGGGAGGGTCCTCCTGCATTGCGATGTTTTGTGGCAGTGAGAGCTCTTTTACGTGCGGGCGGAAAACGGAGGAGATCCTGCGTGGAATCGACGTACGCACTTGACGACATTACGACACGAAACAGGTCCCTGCAGGGTGGGCTGGTAGGACAAGTCTCTGTGCTGTCTATTGCTGATTTTACACCAAACAGCACGAGATTTCACTTCGTTAAAGTATTGAAAGGGGACGGACGGACGGACACATTAATTCTATTGCAGGCTGGTACACTCAGTTTACAACTTCGTTCCTACCAGTATTAACGATACAAAATAAAGTTTGTTTTGGGTTAGTTTGCGTAAATGGCGCCACGGTGGCTAGGGGATGTGAACTACCTCGCCAGGTATACAGGAGGGCGTGGGTTCGATCCTGACCCTGATGCCTGTATATTTTTGAGTTTGCGTCTCTCATCATGGCCATCATCACGGTGGCTAGGAGATGTGAACTACCTCGCCATGTATACAGGAGGGCGTGGGTTCGATCCTGACCCTGATGCCTGTATATTTTTGAGTTTGCGTCTCTCATCATGGCCATCATCACGGTGGCTAGGAGATGTGAACTACCTCGCCATGTATACAGGAGGGCGTGGGTTCGATCCTGACCGTGAGGCCTGTATATTTTTGAGTTTGCATGTTCTCTCTCCACGTGGTCGCGTGGATTTTTCTCCGGGTTCTCCGGTTTTTACCCCTCCACATTTTGAACCGTGCGTTTAGAGCATTTGGCTGCTTTCAATTTTCACACGATGATAAGCCACTTCGTTAAGCTATCATTTGTGGCCAGGTCGTTTATCCAAAACAGCTACAAGCCGAAACATATCATATAAAAAATAATGTTTAAAAAATATTTTTACGATAGAATATAGTATTGTCATCAGTATGACATAAGTATACCAAGTTTGCAGTCGATACCACATTGGAAAGTGAGTTAACATTGAGTTACAAGATTTGAAGATACAACGACAACAACAGACAAGAGTGAGTTAAAAGAAAGCGTGTAAAATATTTATTTACAATAAATAAATAACGAGTACAACTAAATCGAGCCTGCACTGCCACCTACTGGCCGCATCAGCAGCGCAGGCGAGTGACGTTCAGCGCTCTCACGAGTGAGGAGCCGGGGGTCAGCAGCCCTGCCTCACACTCGCACGAGTGCTTCCCCCCGCGTCACAGTGCGCTGAATTTCAATGCCCGCGAGACACTGGCAGCCCCTGGTGGCCTTTAGTGCGCTCTTCGACAAATACACAACACGTGGAAAACACCCCCCCACCCCCATCATGGCTGTCAAACCCCCAATGATTTCAAATGTGTGGTGGCCCTTAACACTGATGATGTCTTCTCGTCGAAGGTGCCCCCTGCCCCTCTCTCTGAAAATAAATGAAGAGCACCGCCCTATGTGATTCACCAACCCCCCTACCTCCGGCGTAAATTTCTATCGTGCTCTTGGCGTCTTGAGAATCCCATCTGAGATCTCGCAGCGACCGCGAGTACCTTCGCCGCACTCTTACACGGCTGCTTCTCGCGTGTCCACGTGAAGGCGATTAATCGTTTCGTGCGCGCTATCGTTTGTTGGGCAGGTTGTAGCGCGTTGATGGTGATGGAACGTCGCCATCAACGCGCTACAAACCCGAGGGCCCCGTTTTGTCACCACCGCCGGCTGAAACCGGGAATCAACCCCAGGTGCTCAGTGGTCTGCTGGCTTAGTTGCAGCTCGGTGCCCACATTTCGTTTGTCAAACTCTCCCACGAAAAGTAAGATGTAATGAAGCTAATGTTGAAAATGAGTGGATTTTTTTACGATAAACGATGCGACTTTGCGTCCGCGAATTTTTGTTTCATTCGAAGTCAAATTGTTTGAACGATGTCAATATTTACGTTTGTATTGATCTATTTTTTATATTTTGTTTGACTCAATTGCCCCATTTATATTATGATTGTGCTACCGGTGTGACGCCACGAGACGAAGGGAATCCACGGGGAATTCTCGCAGGGCCCACGGAAGCGGATATCCCAGAGCTACCCCCTTGGGATCCTTTGAAGGAGCTATCGTTCCACTCACTCCACTCACTCTGCCACTCACTCTGCCACTCTCGAGTCAAGCGGCAGGACAGACAGGCCGGTTGCTTCTGACGCGGCACAGAAGAATGCGGATGGCTGGAACCTGGAACCAGCGGTGTTGAGATCGGCTTCTGTCGAGGAGGAGGTTCGTGAAGGACGCCCCCTGCAACAACTGCGGAGGGTAGAGGAGCGATGCTCACTACAACGAGCGGAGCGCCGGGCGTATAAAACACAGCAAGTTGGCACAGTGGGGAGCGCAGGTGGTGCATCTGCCAGTCATCTGGGTCTGTCCCGTGGGCAGCACCACGCCCGGCCGCCTTTTGTTCCCCAAAGCTAAAATTTAGGTCGACCTCGGGGAAACTGAGAACCAGATATTCGTAACAGATTTTGGCCGTGAGCGGGAATCGAACTCGGATCGCCGGGTTCGTAGTGCAGCGTGGCGCTAACCACTACACCTACACACAAACTGACACGCACGCATGCATAGACACAATGATTGGATTAATCACTCGTCCAATAGGGACAGGTGTTATATCCAGCTAAAGCGCCTATTCTTTTAACAAAGTGATAAAAACGACCAACATTAGACTTGGATCAACACAGTCTTGTTTTATTTTCAAAAAATCATTATACATTACCATTATTTCCACTAACCAACAATTCACATACGCCCAATATCATCTACAGCCAGGTGTGTTAATCGATAACGTCAAACACAATCATCTTCTTGATCTCGCCTGGGTCTCACCTGGTTCAACTAAACTCTTCGTACGCAATCTCGCGCACTTTATATATATATAAAATCGTGAACAGAATATCTTCTCTAGGACAGTTGCAGTGTAAAATAACCCCAAGACACGGCGGAGAGCTGAGTCAATGACTGAATGTAAGAACGTCGCAAATTCATTTCGGCGTTTTAAGATTCAAGATATGACGTTAAAAGTACATACGTCTATTTTGGGAAGATATTTCGTGACATTGTGTGTTCACTAAACCAATTAATGACAGCGAGAGTGTCTAAAGCAGTGGCCGCTTGATTGCAAAGAGCTGCTGCGTAGGCATCATTGCACTTATTCGCTATCCATTATATCACACATTGTTCGCGATTCCTCGCGATTGCTCGCGATCGATGGGGGTGCAACCCAGCACAATCCAATTTTACTCACATCTATTGCACGGAAAATATCACGGTGTGTGGAGAAACTCTTGCCACCGATTGCACACCCTGTTCATACACTTACGCAAAATTGCAGCAAATTACAAAGTACGAGCAGGAAGTACCCGGCTTTGCCCGGAATAAAAAATATATTAAAAAGCTTGTTATCTCTTAAAAAAAAACAGAACATATAAGTGCTCAAATACTAAGCTATTTGTGAAAGCCCGGCGTTCCGTTTGCTGTCCATGTATCCGTCAACAAAATTACAGGAGGCTTGCCGAAGTTCTGAATCAAAAAGTAATAGAAAGTGTGGGGTAAATAGTTGATCTTAAAGTTTCCAAAAATTGTTGATTCCCCCCCTCTAAAAATCTTTTACCCCCCCCCCCCCCAAATTATAAAGTATTCTACAATTAACAATCACCAATAAAAATGTACAGCCCTTTGTTAGTTCACTTCTGGATGAAGGCCTTCCCACGCCGTGTGGAGCGTGGGCTTGTTTTGACCATACTTCACCACGCTGACCAGTACGGGTTGGCATCACGTTGCCACTGATGTTAGCCGTGGGTGGGAATCGCACTCAGGTGGCCGACGTTCAGAGCCGTAGTGCGCTGCAAACCATTGCACCAAAGACATTGACCCCCCCCCCCACTTCTCCCCCTTTCGTTATAGCATGTAACATGCTGTTAGCGAGCAGCACCTATGAAGGCAGGCACAGTGGCACACGAGGGAGTAGGTGGCCAGCACTGCGCCCGGCCACTCATAACACCAATCCTCTAAGGCCACTTCTCCGTGGACAAATATTGACCAGCGACAGTTAAGGTCGGCTAATGGTTAACAATATTCGTGCGTGTAGCTTGCCTCCGTCCATGCTACACGCGCTGAGGTTGTGTTCCGTCGCTGTCAACACATGTTACATAGAGGTAGTAATAACGTACTAATTAATGCAAGGGATTTATACAAAGTTTGATTAATGTAACCAGCCATTAACACGCATTAAGTTATACAGACCTATGGTCAATCAATTTCATTACAATATCCAATTCGATTATGACAATAATAATGATGAGATGAGGTTAAGAGGTCAAACGAGGTGACGATGAGACGTCCTGGGTGTCAGGGTCCCAACTCTACAATCCGGACTCCAGGATAGGGACTGTATAATCCGGACTCCAGGATCCGGATCATAGAATCTGGACTCCAGGATCCGGATCATAGATTCTGGACTCCAGGATCCGGATCATAGAATCTGGACTACAGGATCCGGAATGCTTTAGAACCCGGACTCCAGAATCCGATCTAAAAAAATCCGGATTCCAGAATCCAGACTCTAGAACACTTTGTTGAAAAATGCCGGCGCGTGATCCTCAAAGTGACCGAACTTGTCCTGTCCGGAGATGAGAACGGTGGCGGGGAACTTGCGTGGACGATCTGGGTCCTGCAAGAAAAAAAATCATCACCATGAATTATCTTGATCATCACCATGACCACCACCACCTGCACCATCATCGTCCTCTTTTCCGTTGAACATTATCATCCAGTTCAGGGGTCGGCAACCTGCGGCTCCGTAGTCGCGTGCCACTCTTGAAGGACCGCTTCGTGACCGTTTCTTATTAAGGACCGCCGTTTCCTATTCACCACGTGCATTGCCGCTCTTGAAATATTTAGGGTTTTTTTTTGTAGCGAATTAGAAACAAATAAAAATGTTTCTTCTTGTTATTTTCGTTGCCGACCCCTGGTCTAGCTAATGCACGCACCTCCGATGAGCACGGTTGGCTGCATACGGTGCGAAATAAGTTTAAACATTCACACACACATATATCGTTGTCCAATGCATCTTACCACCATCTGAGCATCGTAATTAACCATCATTCATTGCGCTTGTTTACCCACGAAAGCCTCGCTGAGTCTCACGACTCTTTTATTCAGTAGGGTCCTGCGGTGATTTTTTTCGCAAACGTGATGCCCCCAGTGGTGGATTATCCTAGGAGCAAAAGTAGCTAAAGTAGCTACTCCGTGTACGTGTAGTAGCTACTACAAATGCTACTACAAATGCTACGGGCCCCGCACTTTTAAGGACGCTGCGCTAAATGCTTTCAAGCTATCAATTCCGATTCAGTGATTCTGCACTTGCTCTATTACTATAGTACTAAACCGCCTTAAAAGCTTACGGACGACTGGGTGTTTAAGGTTAGCGATTTGTCGTATTATCTGGCCGTATAGCAAATGAAAAAATAAAATTACTTGACTATGCAAGTTAAAAAGTGTGTGTTTTAATATTTATGTGTTTTTTTATTATTATTTAGGGCCCCTTTATAACGTATTCCACATGCCTCGCACTAGCTTCATCCGGCACTGGATGCTCCTCAGCTGCGCGAGGGGACACCGGAGTGAACTCGGGGGTGGGGGACCCATGCAGAGAACAGGAGGAGAGAACGGACAAACTCCAGACAGAACGGCGACCCGAGTCGGCGATCAGAAACCCGGGGGAATTCGCAACCGGCCAACAATCAACCCACGCGGCGCGGCGTAGAGACAGGCCGTCATCCAGCAGTGGATCGACACAGGGGGCGGCTGTCGGGTTGTGATGGGTACGGGGTCGGGGGTGTGGAGTGACACCCACGTCGGACGGGTGCGCGCACGTGGGCACGTAGCGGACCACGAGGCCGCAGCGGCGGCGTTGGGAGAAGTTGGGGTCGCTCGCGTGGACCGTCAGCCCATCGTGCACCTACAACACGGACACAGCAAAGGAGATGAAGATCCCCACAACCGTGTAGCCTTCACAGCACTGCCGGGGCAAGTGCTGTCAGCGAGCGGCGACGAAGGCCGGCCCGGCACGCGATGAGGGGTGGTGGGTGTGCCAGCACTACGCCCGGCCTACCTTGTCTCCCCAGTGGCGATGTTTACACACCGCGCCAGGCACTCATTTATTTGAGGAGGCTGAGATGACCCAGGGGAGGCGGAGGACTGGCTCACATGGTACTCTGTACTGGGTGTACTGCGTGAGTACTGCTGTGTATTGGGTGAGTACTGCTCTGTACTGGGGTGAGTACTGCTCTGTACTGGGTGAGTACTGCTCTGTACTGGAGTGAGTACTACTCTGTACTGGGTGAGTACTGCTGTGTACTGGGGTGAGTACTGCTGTGTACTGGGTGAGTACTGCTCTGTACTGGGGTGAGTACTGCTCTGTACTGGGTGAGTCCTGCTCTGTACTGGAGTGAGTACTGCTGTGTACTGGGGTGAGTCCTGCTCTGTACTGGGGTGAGTACTACTCTGTACTGGGGTGAGTACTGCTGTGTACTGGGGTGAGTACTGCTGTGTACTGGGTGAGTACTGCTGTGTACTGGGGTGAGTACTGCTGTGTACTGGGGTGAGTACTGCTGTGTACTGGGGTGAGTACTACTCTGTACTGGGGTGAGTACTGCTGTGTACTGGGGTGAGTACTGCTGTGTACTGGGGTGAGTACTGCTCTGTACTGGGGTGAGTACTACTGTGTACTGGGTGAGTACTGCTCTGTACTGGGTGAGTACTACTCTGTACTGGGTGAGTACTGCTGTGTACTGGGGTGAGTACTACTGTGTACTGGGTGAGTACTACTGTGTACTGGGGTGAGTACTACTGTGTACTGGGTGAGTACTACTGTGTACTGGGTGAGTACTGCTGTGTACTGGGTGAGTACTACTCTGTACTGGGGTGAGTACTGCTGTGTACTGGGTGAGTACTACTCTGTACTGGGGTGAGTACTGCTGTGTACTGGGTGAGTACTGCTGTGTACTGGGGTGAGTACTACTCTGTACTGGGTGAGTACTGCTGTGTACTGGGTGAGTACTGCTCTGTACTGGGGTGAGTACTACTCTGTACTGGGTGAGTACTACTGTGTACTGGGTGAGTACTACTCTGTACTGGGGTGAGTACTGCTGTGTACTGGGGTGAGTACTACTGTGTACTGGGTGAGTACTACTCTGTACTGGGTGAGTACTGCTGTGTACTGGGTGAGTACTGCTGTGTACTGGGGTGAGTACTACTCTGTACTGGGTGAGTACTGCTGTGTACTGGGTGAGTACTGCTCTGTACTGGGGTGAGTACTACTGTGTACTGGGGTGAGTACTGCTGTGTACTGGGGTGAGTACTACTGTGTACTGGGTGAGTACTACTGTGTACTGGGTGAGTACTGCTGTGTACTGGGGTGAGTACTGCTGTGTACTGGGTGAGTACTGCTGTGTACTGGGGTGAGTACTACTCTGTACTGGGGTGAGTACTGCTGTGTACTGGGGTGAGTACTACTGTGTACTGGGTGAGTACTGCTGTGTACTGGGTGAGTACTACTGTGTACTGGGGTGAGTACTACTGTGTACTGGGGTGAGTACTGCTGTGTACTGGGTGAGTACTGCTGTGTACTGGGGTGAGTACTGCTCTGTACTGGGGTGAGTACTACTGTGTACTGGGTGAGTACTGCTGTGTACTGGGGTGAGTACTACTCTGTACTGGGGTGAGTACTGCTGTGTACTGGGTGAGTACTACTGTGTACTGGGGTGAGTACTACTGTGTACTGGGTGAGTACTTCTGTGTACTGGGGTGAGTACTACTGTGTACTGGGTGAGTACTACTGTGTACTGGGTGAGTACTGCTCTGTACTGGGGTGAGTACTACTCTGTACTGGGTGAGTACTGCTGTGTACTGGGTGAGTACTACTGTGTACTGGGGTGAGTACTACTGTGTACTGGGTGAGTACTTCTGTGTACTGGGGTGAGTACTACTGTGTACTGGGTGAGTACTACTGTGTACTGGGTGAGTACTGCTCTGTACTGGGTGAGTACTACTCTGTACTGGGTGAGTACTGCTGTGTACTGGGTGAGTACTACTGTGTACTGGGGTGAGTACTACTGTGTACTGGGTGAGTACTGCTCTGTACTGGGTGAGTACTACTGTGTACTGGGTGAGTACTGCTGTGTACTGGGTGAGTACTACTGTGTACTGGGGTGAGTACTACTGTGTACTGGGTGAGTACTGCTCTGTACTGGGTGAGTACTACTGTGTACTGGGGTGAGTACTGCTGTGTACTGGGGTGAGTACTACTGTGTACTGGGGTGAGTACTGCTGTGTACTGGGTGAGTACTACTGTGTACTGGGTGAGTACTACTGTGTACTGGGGTGAGTACTACTGTGTACTGGGGTGAGTACTACTGTGTACTGGGTGAGTACTACTGTGTACTGGGGTGAGTACTGCTCTGTACTGGGGTGAGTACTGCTGTGTACTGGGGTGAGTCTCGCTCACCGACATCTGCCCAGCGCGGAGTGGGCACTGCACCGCGAGTGTCGTGTCCACGAGGTTCTCGGGGATTTCTTGGTTCGCGGTGAGGAGGTTGCCCGGAGCCTGCGCCACGCGGTGCTCCAGCACCCCCTGCTTGTGGCTCCCTACGGGGTGGGGGAGAGGGTAGGGGGAGAGAGAGAGGAGGGAGAAAGCGGGGAGGGGGGGTCAGAGGGGGTTAAAGACACTTTTTATAGCTTTATTTTGGTGATTTCGAAAACTTATGGTTAAGCCATGTTTCTTGCGGAAGTGCGGAGTTGGCCTGATAACTTTAATCTAAATTGTCTCATGGTTGCTGTTGTTGTTGTTTGACTTGCATCACACTGGGATTTTTGCAACACAGCGTTGTAATACGGTGGGGGTTTTTTTTTTCCAGGAAGATTTGCTGGTCTATCCCAGGATGTTTCTGTTGCGCGTCTTCGTCGCATTAAGATGTTTCTCTGTTCATATTTTGTTTGTCGCGGTTGCAGCCGACTCAAGAGCCGCATGGCTCCGGCAACGCCCGCGGGAGTCCATGAGATGTCTTCCACGGATCGTGAGTTAGGGGTCGCGCAGAGGGTGGGCGCGCTGCGCCTACGAACCCGGCGACCCGAGTTCGATTCCCGTTCACGGCCAACACCAAGTGACGATTATCGGAACCGTTCCCGGGCCGCCCCTAGGTAGACTCAGCATGAAATGAGCAGCTGGAAGTGTTGCGTGTAAATATATCGCCGCTCGGGGAGACTTGGGCGGCCGGGCGTGGTGTACTGCCCACTCACTCCCCTCGTGTGCTGTTCCGACCTTCCATAGGTGCTACTCACTAACAGCACTTGCCACAAAAGTGTGTTTAGGCTAGGGGGATGTGGATGGATCTTTGTCGTTGTTTGGATTGTTGTAAGGGTTAGCGCAGTGGTTAGTGTATAGCTGTAATCACTGCTCTCTCCGCAGTCAAGGTTTGAGAGTGGGGTTGGTTCCTCACCAGGGATGACGGTGAGGACTCCGTTCTCTGCGTCAACGTCGTCCAGAGCCAGCCACATGGAGGCCACGGGGCCTCCGTCCAGACCCCAGTACCTGGGAGCACGATCGCACGAGACGCAGGCAATGAGATGTTGTCTGCGATGGTGCGTGAGGATCATCAGCACCACCATCAGTGACACTATGATGATGATGACGATGATGATGAATGGAAATACGATGTTGCGTTGTTATTATTACGACCATCAGTGCCACTATGATGATGATGAAGAATATGATGAATGAAAATGCGATTATAACCACCGAGTCTCAAGACATATTTCTAGTATTTTGCGACTAATTAACAACAACAACATTCTGAGGAGTTTGGACCATGAAGACATCACAATGGCCACCTCCTCTATCCCATTTGCAGGAGTGCTCCATTGTCATAACGAACACGTTGCTTAACTTATTCGTACTCGCTGTTTACCGCACATAGCCCCAGCCCGAACCCGCCCCGCCCCCCCTTAACCTCACCTGATATCCTGGTGCCAGGCAACGTAGGGAGCCGGCTTCCCCTCGCCCGCCACCTGGGCCACGGGGAACTTGCAGATGAATCGTGAGTCGAGGAGCACGACGTCTGGCCCCAGCAGGTCACGCATGACGCTCACCACGCGGGGATTAGCCGCTGCCTCCATCACCCAGGCTTGCTGCAGGTGGACGTTGTGGAGAGAATACTGCGCAGCCTCCATGCCTGCGTACAGGTGAGGGACAAGGGAGTGGGTGGGTTGCGGGGGGGGGTGTGTGAAGCAGGTGAGGAGAGTGACGACGAAGAGTGAGAGATTGGAGAGAAGGTGAGGGAGTGAGTGTGGAGTGAGTGACAGATGGGAGAGGGGGGGGTGAGGGCGATGTGAGTGGCAGGTGAGAGCGGTGAGGCATGTGAGGAGGGAGAGGTGAGGATCCAAGCCGGTAAGACGCGAGGCAGGTGAGATTGAGATTTAAAGATGAGAAGTTGGTGACCGTTTTGGTGAAGTATAATATTTAAAGAGCGACTAAGAGTGAGCGACACTTGGATTCGAGGTCTTGGGGGGTGGGGGTGCTGGGAGCGGGGTGGTTGACTCAGCCCATCATCCCTTCGGGAGAAGGGGGGGGGGTGGTCTTAACAATACAGCGGCAGTCTTATGGATGGACTGTGGAATCCCCCAAATGGTTGTTTGGGCACAGGACATCACCGCGCCAGTCACGGAACGAATTCGTGACATCTCGCACCAACGCGACCTCGACTCTCGTTCAATCCCCTGCGGCAGCGCCCATCACCCCGAGATGCACTCCGGGACGGGGAACTCGCCGAGCCTGGCGAGCGAGCACAGCGGAATGAAGCCCGGATTGTCGTGCTCTCAGCACGGGTGGCTGCTGCTGCTGCTACTAATACTGCTACTACTAATACTGCTACTACTGCTGCTACTACTAATACTGCTACTACTGCTGCTGCTACTAATACTGCTACTACTGCTGCTGCTACTAATACTGCTGCTACTAATACTGCTGCTGCTACTAATACTGCTGCTACTAATACTGCTGCTGCTACTAATACTGCTGCTACTAATACTGCTGCTGCTACTAATACTGCTACTACTAATACTGCTGCTGCTACTAATACTGCTGCTACTAACTACGTGCATGGCAAGTGTTCGACAACGCTGTGGTCTTTAAAACGAATGCATTACATACTAGGCGACGTTTCGGGCAATGGCCCTTCTTCAGCAGCATACACAGAGGGGGCCGGAAAGGGGGCAGAGTCCAACAAATTCATCAAAACCAGCGTGGCGGTAAAAAAATAAATAAGAAAAAGGAATACACAATGGTCGACGTTTCGGTCAATAGCACTTCTCTCACAGCGCAGGGGGGCGGGGTGGGCGGGGTGAGTGTACGTATGAGCAGAGACGGGTGGGGGATAGGCTGCTGGGGGTGAAGGGGGGGTGAGGGGGGGTGAGGGCGGGGTGAGGGGTGGTGGGGGGGGGGTTCCAGTGACGAGTGCGGAGCGCGTGGCCCGCCACTCACCGATCTCGGTCACGCAGGCGTCATAGCCGGCACGGAGGGCGCTCAGCTCCGCCTCGCTCAGCACGGACAGCGCCGTGACGTAGCCTTCGCGCTCGTACTGCGCGCCCAGCTCGCTCACGTGCTTCATGGCTGCTTCTGCTGCTGGTGATGCGAGTGCTGCTGCTTCTAGCGCTGCTGCTGCTGCTTCTAGTGCTGCTTCTGAAGCTGCTTCTAGTGCTGCTGTTGCTGCTTCTAGTGCTGCGACTGAAGCTGCTTCTAGTGCTGCTGCTGCTGCTTCTAGTGCTGCTACTGAAGCTGCTTCTAGCGCTGCTGCTGCTGCTTCTAGTGCTGCTACTGAAGCTGCTTCTAGCGCTGCTGCTGCTGCTTCTAGTGCTGCGACTGAAGCTGCTTCTAGTGCTGCTGCTGCTGCTTCTAGTGCTGCTACTGAAGCTGCTTCTAGCGCTGCTGCTGCTTCTAGTGCTGCGACTGAAGCTGCTTCTAGTGCTGCTGCTGCTGCTTCTAGTGCTGCTACTGAAGCTGCTTCTAGCGCTGCTGCTGCTGCTTCTAGTGCTGCTTCTGAAGCTGATTTTAGTGCTGCTGCTGCTTCTAGTGCTGCTTCTGAAGCTGATTTTAGTGCTGCTGCTGCTTCTAGTGCTGCTGCTAACTGATACTGCTCCTGCTGGTACTGAAAGTTGTCGGTGGTGCCGGTGAATTTGCTGCTGCTGCCTGTGAGTGAGTGCCGCTCTGCTGCTCCTGCTGCTGTCTCTGGGTCTCGCTGGCGATGAGTGGCCTCCTCCTCTCTCGGCTGGTCTCTGCCTCTAACTCAGCGAGGCGCGCTCCTTTTTATCTGCCCCTGGACGGGAAATAACAAAATCGCAACATTCAGGAATTTCCCAACACTCGTGACGCGTCTACAACGCCTTTATCTTCTTCCTCCTCCTCCCCTCTTACTCCTCACCCTGACGTGGGCGGAGTGGAAGCGGGGGAGGAGGGGGGTGCGTATGTTCATGTATGTGTGTGCGTTGGTGTCTCCCCTAGGTCGACTCAGCCTCAAATTAGTACCTGGCGCGGGTGTGTAAACATCGCCACTGGGGAGACAAAGGCGGCCCGGCGTGGTGTTGGCCACCCATCCCCTCGTGTGCCGTGCCGGGCTTTTATAGGTGTAGGTGCTCGCTAACAGCACTTGCCCCCCCCCCCCCCACAGTCTGTTTAGGCTATACGGGGGATCTTTGTCTTTGTGTGTGCGGTAGTTGTAGCGGTTAGCGCGCTGCGCTACGAACCCGGTGAACCCGAGTTCGATCCCCGCTCCCGGTCAACACCGGTGACGATTATTTGAACCGGTCCTGGGTCGACTCGGCCTCAAATGAGTACCTGGTGCGATGTGTAAACATCGCCACTGGAGAGACAAAGGCGACCGGGGGGTGGTGTTGTTCAGGCTATACGGGGGGGGGGGGGGGGGGGGCTTTGTATTTGCTTGTCTGTTGCTCCACGCAAAGATTTAATTATTTTCAGCCACAGTCATGCATGCCCTCCCTCCCCTCTGCTTATGAAACGTGGACCCCCCTGTAATGGAACATCTGCGCCGGGTAGAAACCTTCAGGATGGTCCTCCCTACGGTTATTTATATTTCTCTCAATTTCAATGGATTCTCTAATAAGTCTTGGCCAGTAATAATTAGTTTTACACAACACTTCAACGTTATCAAAATCAATTGAGTGTCCTTGTTGACAAGCATGTTCTGCCACTGCCGACAGTTGTGTTTTGAGATAATTTAATATTTCTTTGGTGTTTTTAGTTTTATGCTGATGTTACGTCCTGTCTGTCCAATATAGCATCTGCCACATAAACAATTAATCCGATATACACCTTCTGTTGATAATTTAGGTAATTCGTCTCTGATCGCGAAAGCCTACGTGTTAAACAGAGGAATAATTATTGGCGTACGGTACTACCACTAAGAGAGCTAGTCGGTACGCCTATCCATAACAATAATTATGTACGCATTATTGTGCCATATATGAATGAATCCTATACGTACTTCGAAGAATTGGTGTATCCAAAAGTGAGGACAAAATATGGGCGGAATGTACGTGACGTTCCTTGTCAGTGGCGAGCGATATGTCAATCCATCCTGGATGCTTCCTCCCCCCCTCTAAATGTTCACAAATTCACACTGATCAGCCGTGGTGAAGTATGGTCAACACCGAACACGGCGTAGGGTAGGCATTCATCCAGCAGTGGATTAACAAATACATCCCGCGAGAAGTGTTATTTTTTGACGATAGTTCTGGGGATGCCTCACTAATTAATTCATCGTTTAATTCATGGATTCGTTCGTTTTCACCGCTGATTTTGCTTCTTCTTCTTCTTCGAGGAGGAGACTGCGGGTGAGCGGGAATCGACCTCGGGTCGCCTTCATGTGGAGCGACAGACACACAAAGACACAGATCCCCCATATAGCCTTAACAGACTGTCGGGGCAAGTGCTGCTAGCGAGTAGCACCTATGAAGGCCGCAACGGCGCACGAGGGTGTGGGTGGCCAGCACCACGCCAGGCCACAGCGCTTGTGCCCGGCCGCCTTTGTCTCCCCAGCGGCGATGTTTACTACACCCGCACCAGGTACTCATCTGCGGCTGAGTCGATCTCGGGGAGGCCCATGACCGGTTCAGATAATCGTCACCGGTGTTGGTGGCCTTGAGCAGGTAATCGAACTCTGCTCTGCCGGGTTCGTAGCGCGGAGCGCTCTAACCGCTGCGCCACAACACCCCACGACTCCGCCTCCAACACCAACAACAGACAATGGGATCCTTGGCCAGGGATTGAACAAGGATGTCACCTGCAGATGGCGCACATCCTCCACCGAAAATTGATTTGACATCGCCCCCAGACGAGACGCTCAGCACATTCGTCGATAACAACGCCGTTGACTTAAATTAAGAAGAATAAAAAAATAACCATAGGCCAACGTTTCGAGATATGGTCCTAGTCCGTTGCACATGGAATCACCACCCGCGTGGGGAGTGCAGGCGTGGAGCGGTTGGTTGCATTGGTTGTGGGCGCTCTGTGCTGTGAACCTGGCATCCTGAGTTCTATTTTATACCACGGCTGCCATCAGTGGCGGGCGATACGTTCACCCATCTTGGGTGCCTCGCCCCTCTCAATGTTCATGTTCATTCATTCACATTGATCAGCCGTGGTGAAGTATGGCCAACACCCCGCCCCCCCCCCCCCCAATACCTCCAAGCAGTGGATTGACAAAGACACGTATTAGTCTTGATCTCGTTCAACATTGTTGATAAAGTACAGGTTCCCCGCCCTTTGTGTGGTAGTGGATGCGCTCAACGTTGTCTGTGTACGCAATACACAAACAACACAATACACAAACAATACACAAACAACACAATGCACAAACAACACAGTACACAAACAACGCTGTCCCACGTCCCAGCGAATTAAAACCGCATATCGCGAATTCGGGGCAGAGATCGGTTAGCCAGATATACAGCGCGAAATCGCATAAACCGAACCCGCATAAAGCGAAGAAAACCCGTATTGCATTGTGTTATCACTCTAGAACGTATATAAATATAAAAAACCAGAACAATTAATGTGACCTAAGTGCCAATTGATAATTATTCCCTATTTAAAAAAAAAATTTGAGTTGAGAGAAAGAAAAAAACCCCTCCCATTTGTGAGTCACAGCTTAGCGTTCGTGTTTGCAATTCCTTGACGCTGTCAGAGATTAGAGTCTAACCATCTGGATAAAAAAAACTCGCCCGAAGGTACGACACTTAAACTCACGATACAATATGAATCATTCCAGGCGCATTCTCAGTTCCCTACGCAGTACATGCATCGATTTCTTCCGTACGCCCGTTGGGGATTTCTTTGACCATTCGTCACCACGATGGTCAATGCAGTATTAGCGAAGATGGATGGGCGGGCGGAAATTTATTAAAGATCACTTCGTACCTAAGGGACTCGCAATTATCGGCCACGTCATTCCACTCACTGATGTCAGCCGTGGCCGGAAATTGAACTCGGGTCGAGCGCGTTATTTTACCCGGGCGCGCTAACCATTGCGCCACCGCTCGCCCCCGTAATTTGCCCCAAGGTGAGGTGGGGCGCGTGGTTAACATCATTCACTGAATTTAGCTCGTGAGCTGTGCGGCACCCCGAGGCACCTGAAATGTAAAGTGCTCGTTTATAATTACAATTCCTTCTCGCTCAGTCACAAAACGGAGGAATGCGTTTGTTTGACTAGTTGTAAACATTGCATGCTTTTGCGACATATATATTACATATTAGAGGTTTTTCTTTTGGTTTAGATTGCGTAAGTATAAATGTGTCGTTAAAGCCGTCACCACCCCACACAGCCATTTCGTAATATTTTTGTCGAGTAATCAGAACATGTGAATTCGTTACAAGTACATCACTAATCGGTGTGCTGGAGAGTAAATACACAACATTTACACTTCGAGTACGACGTTTCGCCAGTAATTACAACCAGCCTCAGCAGGCAGACAGGCAGAATCGTGGAGAAATCTTGTTTCGGTCTTAAATCGAAGGATACATGTTATGCAATCACTCGGGGTGCCTCTGGTGTGCTGAACCAGTTTGTAATTGGCATGTTTTCTTTACGTGACAAACCTTACTATTTGGCAGTGTCGGGTGGTGGCGGGTTTAATGACGACACGTTTATATTTACGCGATTTCAACCTCCCAAAAAAACCTCACTCCATTATGGATAACTTTGTCTGCGTTGAAGCTCGTGCGGGGCCTGTAGCACGTGTTGTGAAGGGGCCCTAAATAAAAAAAAACAGAAATATTAAAACATAAAATGTTAACTTGCATAGTAAAGTTATTGTATTTTTCCATTTGCTATACACCAGATAATACGACAAATCGCTAACCTTAGACACCCAGTCATTGAAGGCGGGTATAGTACTATAATAATAGGGCAAGTGCAGAATCACTGAACCGGAATTGATGGCTTGAAAGCGTTTAGCGCGGGGTCCTTGAGAGTGCGGGGCCCGTAGCTACTACTACTACAGCTACTTTTGCTCCTCGGATAATCCGCCACTGCTGTCTGCCCAGCCAAAATGCGTGGATTCCCCAGAGTCAGTCTGTGAACTGATCCGCAAGGCGCGTGTGGTGGGGGGTAAAGTGTGGGTACCACTCGCACCTCGCCAAACGACGCCCGCATTGCATCATTACAATG